ATGCACAGAGCAGCAGTGGTGAACACGGGTGTGTTTGGTGTGAACAGAGCAGTGGTGAACACGGGTGTGTTTGGTGTGAACAGAGCAGCAGTGAGTATGGACATGCTCAGTGTGTGTTCAAGACTGATATGGTTGGGTAAGCAGGTAGCTCTGTTTTAATTTTCTTGGAAACTGATTACCAAAAAGACTTCACTTGTACCAGGCATAAATTCACTTCTCCTGCCAAACATTCTCAAAAGCATTTATTGTCACTGGTTTTCTTGGTGACAGCCATTCTGATTGGGTTGTGATGGAATCTCAAAGTAGTTTTAATACATATTTCCCTGATAGTTAGTAATATCAAACAGTTTAAAAAACATTGGCCACTTGTTTCTACTTTAGGTAAATATTTCATTAGCCTACTTACTGACTCACAGTGTGTTTGTATGTGTATATGTTTAATTTGTAGTTAGTGTGTGTGCATGTGTATGTATGCATGTGTGCACGTGTGTGTAAATACACATGTGTGGAGTTGAGGATTCCTCCTTTTTCACCTTATTTGAGGCAGAGTCCCTTCCCCACTGAGGAGTCCAGGCTGGACTTTGAACTTCTGGAGATTCCCCGTCTCCCCTCCGTCTCCTGCAGGGATGCTCTGGGGTTGTGGACAGCTTCAGTGTGGGCTCTGCAGATCAGGCTCAGGCTGATACTTTGAACTCTTTCTTTTCCAGATTTAAATGGTTGTTGGAGGGAAGTCCTGTGCATTTGCCAATAAAGCACTGCTGGCCAATAGGAATCTAGATAGGTGGGACTCTGGGAAGGAGAAACACAGAGAGTAGAGATGTAACGCCATGGGGTAGGAAGCCTGGAAATTTCTCCGGTAAGAGAAATACATAGATTAACAATTATGGGGTAATTACTTAAGTCAGAGCTAGCTAGTAAGAAACAAGCAAGGCCAACAGCTTCATAATTAATATAGCCTCCTGTGTGTTTATTTGGGACTGGTGCGGCTCTAGAACCAGGCTGGCAGGAAGGCTTCTCTCTCAAGGAAAAAGCTTCTCTTTACAAATGGTTATGCATCTGTAGGTGCAGAAAAACTTATATGTGCAATAAAAACAGGGCAGGCCATAAAATATATTCCTGAGGCCCAGCCAGTGTGTCGCAGGCAGTTTCTTGGCATGGCAGAGCATGTTCAGCCCAGTGCACACCCGTGCTCAGGACGAGGATGAAGCAAAGCCAAATGGTCATGAGCCTGTGAGCACCGACAGGCCACGTGGGTTCTCGGTGTGCTTGATTTCGAGCGCCGAGCACGATGGCTTCCACAGCCCGGGAAGCTCTGTCTAGAGAAGCCTGCTTACCTTTTGCATGCCACAGAAACCCGAAAGAATCCGCTAGGTCTGTTATTGTCCCAGAAAACGAACCTCCTCTCGACCCTGCGCCCAAGGGTGTGTGAATACACACAGAGAGGTTTTCATGCAGCGTCAATCGTTTCTATTTTTTATCTGGGGCTCTGAAGCCCTGACTTGACTCCCACAAACAGATTCCACAGAGAGAGGGCGGTCAGCCCGGACCTGACTGTGTGCCTCTGAGTTCTTGCAGCCAGCTGCTCTCTCAAAATCCTGTTTCTAAGGCCTAAATTCTCTCTTTTTTTGGTTTTCCAAGACAGGGTTTCTCTGTATTGTTTTGGAGGCTGTCCTGGAACTCGCTCTGTAGACCAGGCTGGCCTCTCGAACTCACAGAGATCCGCCTGCCTCTGCCTCCTGAGTGCTGGGATTAAAAGCGTGAGCCACCAATGCCCGATACAGTTAGCAGTTGATCCCTCATCAACGAACTTCTAAGTAGCCCCATGGAAGAAGATATCCTAACCTCTGATTTCTTTGCCTGTGCTTGGTTTTGTTTGTGTGACTCACTATAAACTCAGGAGGGTCAGGGTCCCCACGTTAGGGGCCAGGGCCACCTTCCCCAGTTCCCTCCTCACCTCTGCCTGCTGGCCGGCGACCCTGCAATTCTGGGCGGCGGCCTTCACAGTACCCAGAGAGGGGAAAGACGGTGGGGACTCCTGGCCCAGCGGGTCTGAGAAGGAGACTGTGCAGGCAGGATTTGACAAACCCAGCACCATCCATTCCCCCTGTTCTAGAGTCATTCAGATCTGGGGTGTGGTCGGATGGGTGCTGTGGCCTGGCCGTGTGTCCCTGTAGCCTGGAGGTGGGCGTCAGAAGCCTTTGAGTTGTGCTCTACGGAATCACCTTGGCTCTTGCGTGGATTTGAAAGAGAACTGTGGTCAGGCTGTTGGCACACTCACACCAGCTTCTGGCTGTGTTGTTCCTTGTGGTCAGATCACCCTCCATTTCAGTCTTCCTCTGTCTTTGTTGCCTGAAGTTCCCAGAGCCCTCGCTGGAAAGCCCGGTTCTGGGTCAGCGCTGGCTTCGTTTGGTCTTGTGGCTGAGAATGTGGCACTGACATTGGTCTTGCTTCCTGGCTACCGGCTCTTTCTTGAGTTATTATTTCTTGAGTCTCCAGCTGCTCCTCCTGCCTCCAGTGCAGCTCTCTCCCATCCCTGCACCCAGAATTTCATTCAGAAATTTCCATCTGGAGACCATCAGAGAAATCCACAAGTGGTCAGAATGCAGACAATGATCCACCCTGCGGTACCCACCTACAACACAACTCCTACACCTAAGGCTCGCAGAGCGTCAGGGAGGACATAGCTCCTGACACAGCTCCTACTCCCAAGGCTCGTGGAACATCAGGGAGGAAAAAGCAGAAGGGTTACAAGAGTCAGAGGACCAGGACATGTGTGTCTGCTGAGAGATAGTCTCTTCTGTTTTGGACAGGGAGCCGCACCCGTGGAACCATATTGACATAGTCATCTAAGCAAGACCTCCAAAATGACAACACCAGTTGGCATGTCATCTCACAGTGCCCCACCCCTAGGTGAAGAGCTACAGTCAGTCAATGGAGTGTGTGTGTGTGTGTGTGAGAGAGAGAGAGAGAGAGAGACAGAGAGAGAGAGACAGAGAGAGAGAGAGAGTCAACTCAGTCTTCTCCAGAGAGGAGCCCCCCTGAGAGGTTATCCAATCCTGAATGGTCAGCCCTAAACACATAGATGTATGAGCAACACTAACTTGACTCAGTAGGTTGTATTTATATATACACATCTGTGTGGAAGAAGAGGTCATACGTTTTAGAGGGCTTTGTGGGACACAAGAGGGGCTGGCGGGGGAGAGGGAAGGGTGGAGTGGGTGTAAAAACAGTACTCATGTATGAAATTCTCAAGGACAACGTCCCATCTCCTCTTATAATTCCCGCTTAGAACCTCTTAGTTGTAACGAGCATTCTTTCCCGCCAGCCACCACTGTCTCAGCCCCCAAATAACACATAAGACGCTATATTAATTATGAAGCTGTTGGCTGTTTGCTATGGTTTCTTAACGGCTAGCTCTGACTTAATGGTTAACCCATAGTTACTAATATATGTTTTTATAAGGTCTTGTCTTACCGAGATGGCCAGACTTGCGTCTTCTCCTCCTGGGATCACATGGCGACCCTCTACTCTTGACTACATTTCCCAGAATCATCCTAGACTCCTAGTCCCACCTATCTTGCTTCCCTATTGGCCAACAGTGCTTCATTTATCAGCCAATCAGACAAACATATATACAGAAGGACTTCCCCCATCACTCAGTGGCATTCCCTTTGGATGAAGCTTCTTTGTGTGATATACAGGGCTCTGCCAGCTGCGGCCATGTGTACCTCTCTGGCTCCCTCCTTGACACTGTACCCTGTGCCCGGCCACACTGGCCTCTCACTGTCCCTCTGACACAGCGTCCTCTGGGATCTTTTCTCCTTTACACTTAGCTCACATCCACCCCTCCTTCCCACATCTGCCGTCTCGGGAACATCTCTTCCTCCTGTCACCCCCCAGATAAGTGTGCTCTCTCCTGGGAGGCCTTGCTATAGCTCCCAGGTATGATCTGTTGCTCCATCTCTGTGTTTCTGGAACTCACTTAAAGCTGTGGATTCTCAAGTCAGGTTCCCTTTCAACCACCTGGGCCCTTTCGGTGTATGAGCGCTGTGGGGACACCAGACCTTGAGCAGAAACCCACTTCCCCTTCGGCCTGGGAGCAGGCAGCTGTGTAATGTTTACTGAAAACAATTCAGTGCTATAAAGCTCTTGATAGGGCTCAGATAAGGGCTTGCTCACTGAGATACCATGACTTTCACACCCCCTACGGCTAGATGCCTCTTCCTGTCTCCCCTGCTGTGTCTCCCCATTTCTGGGGCCGGAGATTAAACCACTAGCCAGGAGGGTGAGAAGTCTGGAACAAATTGTATGTAGATGGATGACAGAAGTCCTTAAAAAAGGGAAGCTCTTTTTTTCTTGGAGAGACTTCTCTCTCCTAAGCGGACTTGGAATCTCCTCCTAAGCTGACTTGGGAAGCATAAAGTTTTTCTTAAAGCAACCGACCGGTCTCTGTGTCATCTATCCCGACCACCTCGCTGCATTCTCGGATGCAGGCCGCACAGCAGGTGCGACAGAGCGCAAGATGAATGGGCCGCCTTCCTGGGCCTTGGTTCTCTCTGTCTGTGTAAGATGAGGCTGATATTGCAAACGCCACACACCTCTGCGACGTCTGGAAGAGGCAAGGATTTAAAGTGCTTCACCCAGTGTCTGGCCTCAGTTTGCACGCAAGACGTGCTCAGTTCTCATGCTGTCACTGTAGTTCGCGCACATTCCTGTCCCTCTCACAAGGTCTGCCCTCCTTCAGGGCCGGTGAGGAGTTTGCGCACCACACCCAGTCCTGGGTGCAGCTGTCGGTAAGTGCAGCTCCAGGCCTTGTCTGCAGAACAAGTAGCAGAACGCAGAATGCCTACAGCCGGTTTATGGGCGATCTGAGACCCAGGGTCGCTATGACCTTGACGTCCGTGCCCGACTCTCTCGGGCAGTTTCCAGGACAACACAGGAGGCAAACTGGGCCACAGGTGTCAAATCCCATGTCCTTTGTGTTTTGCTGTGAACTCTAGGGGACATGTCTGAGAGTAAAGCTAAGAAGATTGAGATCAAGGACGTGGACGGACAGACGCTTAGCAAGCTGATCGACTACATCTACACCGCAGAGATCGAGGTGACTGAGGAGAACGTGCAGGTAACCCCAGCCAGTGGCCCAGCACCTACACACTCCACCTGCCATTTAACCCTCACAGCACCTCAGGGGAAAGCAAGCTGCAGAGAATTAAGCCGCTTTACCTCCGTCACGTGGCCACCCAATAGGCCAGCTGGGGCCCTAAGTGTCTGTGTCTGGCCTCCGTAGCTGTGCTTTTCAGCATTGGGTCACATGGTACCTCTGTGTGAGCCCAAGCCGGAGTGAGGGGTTGTAGCTCATGTTATGTTTAGCTTATGAAGGAGGAACCACCTTGGTGACCCGTCTTCTCCCCAGGATGCCCTTCCATCCCAGGGTCGAGAGGCTGGTAATGCTTCTCATCTTCTAGCTTTGGTCATGTGAAGGCCCTGAGCTTGGGGATGCCATCTCAGCCAGAGCGTGGGGTTATGATGTCACGCGGGCACCTTTCCCTCCTCCTCAGACCTGTCTGGCCCTTAGCCATCCGAGGCCTGGGGAGGAGAAGTCAGTGAAGACAAAGAGGACCCAAGAGAGGACGCCGCATTGTGCTCCGTTTGGAGAGACAATCAGGGAGGCACTCTGGGCCTCCACAGACGGTGGGGCTAAACAGACGAGGATGCGTTCTGTTGTTTTTACTGTTTAACGAGACTAATGGAATATACGTGATTTGAAGGTTTTTTTTTGGTTACTGTTTAGTTTTGCTTTTTGGCTATTGTTCTGTTTTTGCACAAAGCCACCTAATTTACTTGAGGCAAACACCTTTCCCTTATTACAAACACCACGCACACTCCTGGTAGAGCTGTCTGAGAGGCCGGATTGGCAACTACTTGTCCTTTCAGTTCAGTCCAATGCTCCTATCGCCTGCCACACCCTCTGTTGGGCACTGTAAGTGTAACAGCGCTGGTCTCGTGGTCACATCTGCAGCAGAGGGGCGAGGACAGACATCCACCCAGCAAACACACAAGTCTCATCTGTGCACAGCTCCTTGCAGTGAGAGAGAATGTCAAGGGACACTGACCTTGAGCCCATAGAGATCCACCTGCCTCTGCCTCCTGAGCTGGGATTAAAGGTGTGCGCCCCACCATGCCTGGCTCAGCATACATTTACCTAAGACAAAATGAGTAATTTGGATCATAAGGAAAAGTTCTGCTGTGTTCTCACTTCCTGGTAGGGATAAGATGATAACAGCAAGGAGGTAATAATGAATAGTGATTATTATTAAGATATTAGTTAAGAAATTAAGGTATTAATTTATAAACAAAAATAATAAGGGATCAATCAATAAGACTGTTATAAGAACCACAAAGATATATATATATATAATTTTATCTTTATCTTTATGTCTGTATCTATATACAAATTTATTAAGGGATGCTATGGATCTTTATATCTATTATCCATATATATGCGAATTTATTAAGGGATGCTATGAGGAGAACAGACTCACAGATACAGAACTAGGTATAACTGGTTGCAAAGTCCTTCCGTTCTACCCAAGGGAGCTGGGAACCGGCCACACACTGCTTCATCCCATCTTCACAGCCCAAGAGAGCGCAGGACCTCTGTCTCTCTCTCCTTCTAAGAGGTCACATCCACAGACAAGAAGCCACGCCCTAAGGCCAGTGCCACAGAGCTATTGGCAGAATGAATTCCCACAGCAGCAGGCAATCTTTACAACTCTAGTCTAAGCCAGAGCTGAGTCCCTCTGGCTCACAGATGTGTGTGTTAAGGTGGGTGACAGGAGCTACCGGAGCCAGGGAGCTCTGTAGAAAGTGACTTTGCCATTACTTTTTAAAAAACACTCTGTCTGGGAAGGAGGGCGGGGGAAGGGCAGAGCAGGAGTAGAGGGCACACAGGAAGGGCTGGGGAAGACGTGGAGCTGGCGTGATGACTTCTCCCTCCTACGGGAGCCTTCTCACCCTTCTCCCTGACGCCCTGTGCTGCCAAGTTCGGTCTCTTCCACAGAGCAGTCTCCGCTCGAGTGTCCATTCTGTAGGTGTCCATAGACTGTGTCCTGCCCCGAGCTGCCTGGTCTCTGTGTGCCTCACCTTCCCAGTGTTTTCCTTCCATCAGCGTGGGCATGATGATAGCGTCATCTATCCTGACGGAGCTGCTGTGAGTTGTGAGCGTGCTGACACAGGCCTTAGAGCCGGGCCCGGCACACGGTGCGTGTTAGCACTTAAAGCAGGGAGCTGCGGTGCCACTACACATACACAGAAGGCATTGAATGTGGATGGGGACCGAGGACAGGTGGCCGGGTGGTCAGGTAGCCAGGTTGGGAGCAGGAGCCGTGGTGAAGGATCCGGGGCGCTAACCCTAGATCTAGAAACGTCTGGGAACTCCTCCAAGTAGGAGCATGGTTTGGGATACCTCTTGGGGTTTGCCCAGAGTACTTGGCATGGTCAGAGGCCTGGCCCAGACACCAGCGATTCTTCTGGGAAAAGGGACTTTGGTGCTCTTCTGAGTAGCCAGGGGTGAAGAGCACCAGCCAGAAGGCACAAGGCCAGGGCCCGGCTGACGCCTCCTCCCTCGTGCGGGACTGTAACCCTCCATTTGACCGGCCATTCAGCGCCTCTTTTTTTTTTTTGAGCTACCACCCTGGGCTGGCAGACAGTGTCTGCAAAGAATTTGCTGTGACAGGCTGCTTCCCCCAGGAGCAGCTGCTCTGTGGGCAGGGACAGATGGTGGGCCCGGGTGGAGGCGTCCAGGAGGAAATAGTCACTGCTGCCTGAGGGGGGGGGGGGCAAAACGAGGCAGACCACACTCAGGAAGTGTTTGGGCCAAACTTTGAAGGAAGAGGGGGTGGTCTGGCCGGCCTCTTCTGTCTCTGTGCTCCGCCCATCCCCCAGGCTGGGAGTCCCCTGAGAGATCTGCTGTCAGGGGTTGGGGCTTGGCTGAATGGCCCTGAGAGTGAAATCTCCCTCCCTCCCTGGTGGTGGCTTCCCTTTGGGGATGTGGCTCTTTCCATGGTGGCGAGGGTTCTGTCTGTCTGTCTGTCTGTCTGTCTGTCTGTCTGTCTGTCTGTGTGTCAGGGCCCAGGCTGTGCCAGCCCTCCCTCTTCATCCTCATTAGCAGCTAGTAGGAGACAGATACCACCCCTGTTTACAAAAGGTAACCTGGGTCACGTGGGAGAGCGGGGACCTGACCCTGGCTCCCTCTGACTCACCCTTGTGGCTCTGCTGAACTCATCCCCCCTAACTGAGTGACCCGGAGCCTTGTTTTCTGCTCCTAGTGCTTGATGACAGTCAAAGCCCACAGTGGCCGTGCTCTCTCTGGGTAGGGCCGTGCTGGCTGCTATAAGGCTGTGGCCGGCCTGATTCTCACAAGCTGTTGTGGCGCTACTGTGACCACAGCCACTGTGTTGTTGAGACTGAGAAACCCAGGCTGTCATCCTCCATCGCGCGGTCAGAACTAAGAGCGACACCTCCGTGACCGCGCTGTCCTGTCACCGGAGACTTGTGTATGCTCTTCTGCTCTCCCTTCCCCTCCTCAGCAGGCTCTGATGGGCACGGCTGCTCAGTCCACCTGCGCCTGCACTGAGAGCATCTTTGAGGCACGCTGGATGCCCTTCCCCTGGCACTCCGCCCTCCTCCGTGTCTGGCCCTGCCCCCACCCGCACCTCCTGGATGCAGTTCCAGGACTAGGTGCTTTCTGAGGCAGGGCATTTCCTCTTGTTTTTGCAAAAGGAAGCAAAGCCTGTGACGGGATATCCTCTGCTGTGTTTTCATGTTATTGGAGGGAGAGAAAAAACAAGATGGGCCCAGCCCATGAAAAATGGAGGGTTGGCCATTTGCAACCGAGGGAACCTGCAAACTCCTCATGGGGGGGGCACTCCAGGGTCTCTCAGGAGTGAGGCAGGAAAGGCAAGCGGGAGCTTTTGACCCGGAGTCATCTTCATGCAGATAGGTAGTTCCTGCTGACTCCTCTTGCCAGGACTCTGTCTTCTGTCCCCTCAGGGGCCAAGGGGACCATCCTGTGGCTCTATCCCCACCGTCCACTTCAAAGCAGAGAGTGGAGCTGGGCTCAGGAAGCAGAGAAGAGGAAATGCTCAAGTCCCGCACATGTGGGAGACGGGGGCTGACAGTCACCTCATACATGGGAGTGTGTGTGTGTGCATGTGTGCACGTGGGCGTGCATGTGCATGTGTGTGTGTGTGTGAGTCCCTGTCTAATGTAGTCTCAGTCTATCCCTGAGCATGTGCATGCGTGTGCGTGTGTATGTGTGTGTGCATGTGTGTATATATGTGTGTGTGTATGTGCGCGTGTGTGTGTGTGTGTGTGTGTGTGTGTGTGAGTCCCTGTCTAATGCAGTCTCAGTCTATCCCTGAGCATGTGAGGGTATGTGTGTCCCTATATGATCTGGTCTCAGTTTATCCCTGAGCATGTGTGCATGTGTGTGCACGTGTACATGTGCATGTGTATGGAAATGCAAGTGTGAGTACGTGTATGCGTGTGTGCACGCGTGTGTGTGCATGTGTGTATATACGTGTGTGTGTGTGTGTGTGTGTGTGTGTGTGTCCCTGTCTGACGTGGTCTCTGTCTATCCCTGAGCAGCAGCAGCAGTGCGTGGGAGACGGCTGATCTCTTGCTCTCTCCGTCCTCCCTTTGGTACACTGACTGACTACCCCCACTCTCCTTCCTGCCCTGAGTGGAGTGGGGCAGGGGTTGGGGGGAGAGAGAGAAGGGTCCCTGAGTGGAGTGGGGCAGGGGTTGGGGGGAGAGAGACAAGGGTCCCTGAGTGCAGGAGCCATTAGGGAAGCCTCAGCCCGTGCATTGCGGGAAGCTGGTTCAAGGTGCTCAGGTGGGAGCCGGCCACACATGATGGAAGCGGGGGCGGGGCTGCAGACGGTCTTTTAGTTTTTGGTGTGCTAGGTGGGATTTGTGAACAGAGGGAAGCTGAAAGCTGTATGGGTAGTCTGCCCACAGAGGCGCTAGGCGCTGAGAGAGTGAGCGAAGGCACGAGCTCAGGAGATAAATTTGCTATTGTATTTCTCGAGCTGGTTGTCACGAGCTTGAAAATTCAGGCTCTACACTGTGCTTTCCTCCTGGAGAGAAGGAGTGAAGGAGAGGAGTCTGTGTCTCTGGCCCGGTCTCACTGGGGCTTGGCAGGGCATGCAGTCTGGGAATAGACAGGACTCTCAGTCACCTTGAGAGTCACCGGTAAGACGGACCCCCGTCCTAACATGAGTACCTGTCCCAGGTAGCCTAGAACGGGGGGGGGGGCTCACCTGGGACTTGTCCTAAAACTAGGGAGTCAGACAGTGCAGGAGGATTGGCCAGGGGTGCGATGGGGGAGGGGTCACTTGGTGAAGAGCCTTCCATTCCCAGTGTGCATTCAGCGAGAATGGCTAAGGGGCCCCCACTTCACTGGCAGGCACAAACTAATCTGCTCCTGGGATCTGTGTGGCCAGGCTGAGTGGCTCACAGGTTAATTGAATTTTCCAGTTTATGGCTGCTTGGTGGGCAGAGGTTGCGTGGTGGGGCTCTGGGGCTCTGGTGGTTAGGTTTGGGCTGTAGCTGGGTTCATCTGTGTTCTAAAACTCTGAGGCGAAGGAGATTTTTATCTCTTTCTCCTTTAGAAATGAATCAGTGGAGCAGAAAACACCAAGGATACTGTGCTAACTTAACCCAGCCTTGCTGGGGACACAGCAGGAGGGGGGGGGGACACAGCAGGTGGGGGAGGGACACAGCAGGTGGGGGGCACAGAAGGTGGGGGGACACAGCAGGTGGGGGGACAGCAGGTGGGGGGATAGTAGGTGGGGGGCACAGAAGGTGGGGGAGACAGCAGGTGGGGGGACAGCAGGTGGGGGGGCACAGAAGGTGGGGGGGAGACAGCAGGTGGGGGACACAGCAGGTGGGGGGGACAGCAGGTGGGGGGGCACAGCAGGTGGGGGGACACAGCAGGTGGGGGGACAGCAGGTGGGGGGGCAGCAGGTGGGGGGGACACAGCAGGTGGGGGGACACAGGTGGGGGGCACAGCAGGTGGGGGGGACAGCAGGTGGGGGGACAGCAGGTGGGGGGCAGGCAGCAGCAGGCCAGCTGGAGGGCCTGAGAGCAGAGTGGGTTTTCTAGGGGGGAGATAAAGCTGTTCGTGGGTAGAGCTCTCCCTGCAGAGAGGAGACGCCTGGTCCGCAGGCGCACAGTGGGTCCTTGGGTGGGGCTGCTGATGCCTTTGGGAAGGGATGAAGAATGGGGCACAAGTGACCTTCCACAGCACAGGAAGTCCTGTGATGTCCCTCAGTCCCGTTGGACTAGGACAGTTGGTTACCCCTTGTGGAAGGACAAGGCCCAGGAGGTGATGGGAGTCTATATGGAGGGTGCAGAGATGTGTTGGGAGATCAGTATTTAAATCATCTATCTATCTATCTATCTATCTATCTATCTATCTATCTATCATCTATCTATCTATCTATCTATCTATCTATCTATCTATCATCTATCTATCTATCTATCTATCTATCTATCTATCTATCTATCTATCTATCGTGCCCAGAATAAAAACAACAGCAGACACGCCTGCCGGCTGCCGTGTCTTCCTGGGCAAGCCATTGTGGATGGGAACAGCTGGAGTTGGTCTGACTCAGCCTGTCTCCCTGAGAACTAGGGGAACAGCTGGGAGGAAGGACCTGGGGACAGGGAATTGCTGTGAGGAGCTGGTGCTGGGCTCTGCAAGTTACAGAATCCATATCAATGCTCTGGTTTTCCCCCCTAAGTTACTTTTGGTAAATTATCCTGGCTACCTGCCTCTTCCACAGAGTGAGTGGGACAGCAGAGTCCGGGGTGGGGGTGGGGGTGGGCATTGCTTTTATCTTGTTTTTATGATCTAGAGGGCAGGTTTGGGCAGCCAGGGGAAGCTTGACAGGGGTTGGTAGTGAGTGCTCAGCAGGCCTGCTCAAGCCAGTCTCCCCTGGTTCTTAGGAAAAAAACATTGTGCACACGCCCAAGCAAGAACTATTCTGTTTTCCATGATGCAGAATAAGTAAGTGTCCTGTGACTTTTAAACCCAGTCCTGCTCCTGGTCAGTTGATAAGCACTGTAAAAGTAAGATCTGGTTGTTTTGCCTACTGCTGAATCTCAGAGCCTTGACCAGAGCCTGGCTCATAAACACTGCTCGGCTGGTAGGTAGGTTGAGCTCGTGAGCGGTGCAGCAAGCGCCTTTCTGAGTGAGGACGGCACACTGGACTTTGCAGGGAAGTGGTTCTCAGACTTGCCTAGCTAAAGAAGTGTGAAAGGGAGCCTTAAGCATCTCATCATGTCCAGGTCATACCTGTTGTGTAGCTTAGGGGAGATGCAAACAACATCTCCAGACAGGGAACCAACAGCAGACCAAAGTGCAGATGCCACCCAAGTCTAACTTGGTGAAACCAATGAGCTTTATTGGGGTTACTTACAGGGATGTAGGTGAGGGGTCACTTACAAGCAGCAGAAATGACTTAAGGATGGCCGCACTACCAAAGCCCACCCCAGCATGGACGGCAGCTCACAAAGCTGGGAACCTGGAACACGGAAATCAGCTCGATAGTTTGGAGTCCTTTGCATGGAACTCAGTTGGTCTGAACCTCTTCCGGGAAGCTCGGCTGGTCTCCTCTTCCTCTAGGCAGCACAGCTTGTCCCAGAGTCTCTCCCCAGTCCTTATGCTTATACAGACCTGGGGAGGAAGGGCCTGGGGGATCTGGTGAATTTCAGGGACTTCCTGAAGCTGTTGGGTTGTTTGCTCTCTTAGATTAAGAGCCTCCCTGAAGGGTGGGGTGTTTCTCCTCTCCTTAGACCATCTGCTGTTTTACCTCTCTGCAGACACCTGTGTTGCAACAAACTTCCCTCCAAGATGGAAGGTTTTAATCTCAGAAGAAACCACACAAACAGCCCATACCGATCATAATCTCGGGACAGAACACCCAGGCGTCAGGATTTGTGATTCTGTGAGCCACACCAGTGTGTAACCAAGTATATAGAGCCTCCATGTAATGTATGCACGCTGTACACATGTTCCACGTGTGCTACACATGTGCACACATTTTGTCACGCTGGGTGCGGCTCCTGCTCTAGCAAGCACGAGGTCGCTTGAGGTCTTAGTAACGATTAGGTTTAGCTGCCTTCCTGCTGAGTCTATCACCTGCATTTTACTAGGGTCTTGGGATGGAGACCGCCCTGGGAAACTTTACAGGTTAGAACGACACTGAGACCCCCCTTGGGGGCACATTTTTAAGGGTGGAGAAGCAGAAAGTGAGGCTGCAAGGCAGACTGCGAAGTTTGGACCACTCAGTGAGAAGGCAGTGGAGAGCCATGAGAGAGTGGAGAGTTTAGAAACACGGTGGGAACAGTGGTTTTGGGGTTGAGCTCCGGCTGTGGGACCAGGATCGCAGAGTGTTGTTACCTTGTCTCACAGGTGCTGCTTCCTGCCGCCAGCTTGCTGCAGCTCATGGACGTTCGGCAGAACTGCTGTGACTTTCTGCAGTCTCAGCTGCATCCCACCAACTGCCTGGGCATACGCGCATTTGCAGATGTGCACACTTGCACCGACCTCCTGCAGCAAGCTAACGCCTATGCAGGTAAGGCAGGGTGGCCCCGTCTCCTCTGAGCTCATGGGTTTGCTCACCTGGCCTGTTGAGGACCCTCAGAGATGGAGAAATCTGGCTTCTCCTGCAGAACAGCTATGATTTGGTTAGGGGCACAAAACACTGATAATTAACAATGGGCAAGTTTCGCACATTGCCACGCGGAAAATGGTTAATTTGTGCATGGATGGTACAGCCAGCAGAGAAAGGTCTGAGGAGTCTTGGGAGTGTGTGTCAGTGTGTGTGTGAGAGAGTATGAGAGTCTGAGTATATATATGAGTGTGGGAGTGTGGATGTGTGAATGTGGATGTGTGAACTTGTGTGTGTATGGGTGTAAGTGTGAGAATGTGTGTGTGTGTGTGTGTGTGTGTGTGTGTGTGTGTAGCATAAACTGAGCTTAGGGTTGAAACAGATTTTTTTTTGGTTTGTTTAAGACAAATTGTCTTTGGTCAAATTGTTCTATGAAATGATATTGGAAGTTAAATACGTTCCGGCCTCCTGGTGGTTAACGAGTGTCTTCTTTACACCCTGTCTTGCTTTCTAGACTCATTGATTTTTAATCACACCTGTGACTCAACACTGAGTCAGGAGGCTCACCACAAGTTCATAGCCAGTGCGGTCTACATGATAAAACCCCATGTCAAAACCAAAACCAAAGCAAGCAAATCAACCAACCAACCCCCAAGCGAGAATGAAAATGCAGTCAGATTCACTTGAAAGCTAGTGCATTTGGGGCTGGGGAGGCGTCTCACCAGTAGAGAGCACACACTGCTCTTGCAGAGGACCCAAGTTGACTTTCCCACACCTTGGTGGTGCCGCACATTGACTCCAGCTCAAAGGATCCGCTGCCCTCTTCTGGCCTCCATGCATACTTGCAATCACGTGCACATACACACACAAAGACACATAGTTAGACATAAATATAAAATCTAAACAAAAGGCTATTTCACGTGTTGGCTTCCCCGTTTACCTCTGGAAATTGGGAACACTGTTAATTTTAGATTTATTTGCTTTAGACCGATGTGTTGGCTTCTCCAGGAGAGTAAGATTAATCCCTTTACAGACTTTCTTTCCCGCGTGCACACCGTCTTACCCACGCACGCTTCATCCTCAGCCTGCCTTCCCCAGAGCCGAGTCACTCAGTTACTACAGTGAGGTGTGACGCGAGATGTCATTCTGCAAATATGTCTCTCTTATTGGTTGATGAATAAAGCACTGTTGGCCAATAGGGATGTAAGACAGGTGGGACTAGGAGTTGAGGAGGATTCTGGGAAATGTAGTCAAGAGTAGAGAGTTGCCATGTGATTTCCCCAGGAAGAGAGGACGCAAGTCTGCGTTCTTGGGAGGATAAGACCCTATAGACCGTGCTGGTGAAACCCATAAAAACAGCTGACCAGATAAGAGGGAGCTCTTGAACCCCAGACTGATGGCTGAGAGGCCAACAGGGGACTGATCCAGACTCCATGAATATAGTGTCAGTGAGGAGGCCTCAGAAATCACTGGGCCCTTGGGTAGTAGATCAGTGTTCACCATGGTGTACGAATGAACTTTGGGAGCCCATCCCACATGGAGGGAGGCTCTCTCATCCTGGACACATGGGGAAAGGGCCTAGGTCCTGCCCTGGATGAAATGACAGACTCTGGAGATTCCCCCAAGGAGGGCCTCACCCTCTCTGGGGAATGATGTGGGGATTGGGTAGGGGGCTGGGGGGCTGGTGGAGGAGCAAGGGAGGAGGGGCGGGAGAGGGAGCTGGGATTGACATGTGAAGCATGCATGTTTCTAATTTAAATTAAAAACATATATTGAGAAAAAAGATAAGACCTTATAAAATATATATTAGTAATTATGGGTTAATAATTAAGTCAGAGGTAGCCATTAAGAAACCATAGCAAACAGCCAACAGCTTCATAATTAATATAGTGTCTTGTGTGTTATTTGGGGCCTGAGACCCAGGGGCAGGACCCAGGTGGCTGGTGGGAAGAGTACACGTTACAGAGGTGTTTCACAAACATCAGAAAGGCAGCAGACAACTGTCTTAATCTTCAGCTTGTGTGTGCAACTGGCCACAGTGGACCAGCCTCACTCAGTGTGACAACATGTTCTCTGGGCAGCACTGTCCCTTCGAGGGAACTTGTCATCTTGGATTTTGGATGGAGTCTTGGGAAGGAGAAGAAATGGAAATAGTCATGCAGTCTGCCATGTTTAGCAAGACACTTTCCCTCCCCATTCATTCCAGCAAGCGGAAAGTTGACTAGGAAATGGGCCTGGCCACAGCTTCCTCCTTGCCTGCCAGTGAAGAGTTTTATCTCACCCACACCCAGCTAACCCCTCCCATGCCTGCTCTTCTCTTCTGCTTCCTGTCTAGCCAGACCCGAGGACCTGCTGTCAGCCCTGTGCTGCCTCAGTCCCCGAGCCCAGGGGATGACAGCAAGCACACTGTTTCTTTTTGTTCCTTTTCTAGACCCCTGGGACAGAGGCACACGGGACCAATGGCCACAGACACACGTGACCAATGATGGCCATAGACACACGTGATCAATGGCCACAGACTGTCTCCTCACTGTAGACACACGTGACCAATGGTCACAGACTGTCTCCTCACTGTAGACACACGTGACCAATGGCCACAGACTGTCTCCTCACTGTAGACACACGTGACCAATGGTCACAGACACACATGACCAATGATGGCCATAGACACACGTGATCAATGGGCACAGACTGTCTCCTCACTGTAGACACACGTGACCAATGGCCACAGACACACGTGACCAATGATGGCCATAGACACACGTGACCAATGGGCACAGACTGTCTCCTCACTATAGACACACGTGACCAATGGGCACAGACACACATGACCAATGGTCACAGACACACATGACCAATGGTCACAGACTGTCTCCTTACTGTATGGACACACATGACCAATGGTCACAGACTGTCTCCTTACTGTATGGACACACATGACCAATGGGCACAGACTGTCTCCTCACTGTAGACACACGTGACCAATGGCCACAGACACACGTGACCAATGGCCACAGACACACATGACCAATGGGCACAGACTGTCTCCTCACTGTATAGACACACGTGACCAATGGGCACAGACTGTCTCCTCACTATAGACACACGTGACCAATGGGCACAGACTGTCTCCTCACTGTGTAGACACACGTGACCAATGGGCACAGACTGTCTCCTTACTATAGACACACGTGACCAATGGGCACAGACTGTCTCCTCACTATGGACACACATGACCAATGGGCACAGACTGTCTCCTCACTGTATAGACACACGTGACCAATGGGCACACACTGTTGGTCCTCAGTGTGCAGACACACGTGACCAGTGGCTAAGACAGCCTGGAAGCTGACCATTTCGAAGGACTTCTCCAGTGGTCCCGTTTCCAATCCCGTTGGCCCATGTTGGCTGTCAGTCTGAGCTCCCCTGCTTGTTGTCTGTCTGGTTGTGGTCTCCGTTCTCTGCCTCCTCTCAGGATGCCTCTTTTCTCCTGGCAAGGGTCCTCAAGTGGAAGAGAACCCTTTCCTGAATGATGTTGTTCAGGTTTTACTTAGCAGGACCAGGACAAGCATCTGCACATGCGTGGTCCCACTATAAGCATTTGTCAGTGTGGCGAGGGCACAGTGCTGAGCTGCTTGGACATCCGTCCCTTTCTTCCTTGTCTCCCTCACCAGGCCCCTCTGCTAACCCACCTAGCGTGTACACGGACACATCGCTGTGTTTTCTTTATCCCTTCTCTCCCTGTCTGATGGTGAGCCAGATCTGTGGGAGGATGGAGAGGCGCATCACGCTGTCATGCATCACGCTGGTGCTCCCTGGTCCTGATGCTGTCAAAGCGACTGGCTGGTGCGTGCGTGTGCATGCGTGTCTGTCTGTGAGTAGCCTAGGGAGTGTCTCCTGCTGGTATTTGCTGGGCTTCTCCTTTGGTCACCGCCTGTGTTCATCACTTCATGAACACCCTGGTTGGACCCAGACAACAGCTGAGGAAACCCAAGGCCCGAGAGGTGAGGTGGTATGGGGATGTGCAGCGAGTAAGGGCAGGGACAGAATTCAAACCCAGGGCCAGCGTCTGTAGCTGTTGCCTTCCACAGCTTCCAGTCTGCCCATGGGGGTTGCTCCGTGAGCCATTGGGGAGGAATGCAGGCAGCCGGAGTAGTGGGCCCGTGTCACCGGGTCACCAAAACTCCAGCATCGGACAGGACAGGACAGACAGACAGGCAGGCAGACAGACAGACAGACAGTTGATGCCAGTACAGAGTTACAGCCAGCTTGCGGTTGGCCAAGTGCAACATGGGAGTCTTCTTCTCTTTCTGGTTGCGCCGTATCCTCCCAGACACACAGATGTTGTCCCCTCACGGCCTGAGTGACCATTCCCATGTCCCATGGCTCAGTTAGCGTGCTTGGCACACCTGGAGTCTCCTTTCTGGGGTGCAGGCCTGTGACCCTCTCCTAGACGCCCCCTGTGCAGCTGCAGCGTTGTACGGCATGGAGGTTACCTACTCAAGCGCGGATGACGCAGCAGCCACAGCCACGGTGGAGAGATGGTAGACAGGAAGTGAAGGGAGACGGCCGTGTGCAGAGAGGGGGTAGAACGAGGACTTGTGTCTGCTCTCTTCGACTGGTGTGGGCCTGCTTCATTTCCTTGGTCTCTTATCTCTGGCCTCAGAAGGGGCTTGGTGCTCTAGGATTTCCCCTCTGCTCCAGACGGACCTTTCGCTGTACTTTGTTCCGCTGTGAGTTTGGATGTGTAGCACCTAGTAGGGTCACACACAAGGGACAGTCTTGAGCCTATGGTCACATGCCTTCTAGAAGGTATTTTCAAGTCAACATTGTAAGGAGAGACCCCTTTTGGACCAGATCTAGGCTGGGCAACCCTGGCCCGTCTCCTCTGTGACGGGGATGGCATACCATACAGCTTGCAGGGTGGTGGTGGATGACAAGGGCCAGGAGGAGATGTCCTGTAG